GTTCTAGAGAAACTTCCCGAGTCAGAATTGTTCACAGTGGTGGTGATAGGAACCAGATGTCTGCAGGCCGCACCTCTAAAAGCTCCTTCACAGAAAGTTATTACATGAAGTGGTTATGAATATACTACCTGAGGCTGGGATATTTATATGACAAGGCTTTGGTCTAAAACGTATATTTAAAATCAATTCATTCAGGCCACTGTAAGGCAAACTAGTCCCCAAAAAAACTTGGGCTGGAGGTTAGGGAACCACCCCTGTGACAGGAAGTTTGCTGGTTCAATCCCCTGAGCCGACAATATGTGACTGAAGTGCCCTTGAGCAAGGCACCTAACCTCCAACTGCTTCCCGAGCGCTGCGGATAGGGCTGCCCACTGCTCCGGGCAAGCGTGTTCACTGCCCCCTAGTGTGTGTGTTCACTAGTATGTATGTGGTGTTTCACTGCACTGATGGGTTAAAGGCAGAGGTGAAATTTCTCCATTGTGGGACTAATAAGGGTCACTTAACCTTAATCTTAAAAAACACAGAGGACACATGTGGGTTCATTGAAGGGTTTGGATAGTAAATCTGAGTCAGCAGGTTTCTCTACCATGAACCATTTCACATCAAACCACTCTGAATTACATCTAAATGATTAAAATGTGCAGATATTTTGAGAAATTAGTGGAATTTCCTTTCAGGTACATGTTTGTTGGTTGCCTTTAGTCATTGAGGTGTATTCAAGCGCAGTTATTTTACTGTAAGGGACGCAAGGGTGAGCTGACAGAAGGCGATCATCAGTCTGCTTTAGTTGGCACTCTTGTTTTCCCTCATGAGTTGCATGTGTTCTACATGTAGCTCTATATATAGGTCTAAAAGGAGCTCCACACTATGAGCTGTCCTTATATGTTTTGATGTACTTACATACATATATCTCCACTGAGAGTTGTCCTTCACGAGGGCAGCTCATGTTGTAGCACTACAGATACATAAACAGAGTCACATGTACGTGAACTCTCATGGGAAGTCACACTGTTGTGCATTGCAACAGGGTCATCATGCCATATCTACTTCAACAGGCCAGCAGTAAAACAGGTCAGAAAGCTCTTGAAATCTGTGACCTAATCACATCAGTCACAATTCTGAACCAACTGAAAAAAAGAACCATGCAAATTGGTCCAAAAAATAAATCACATAAAGCATCCAGGGCCAAAGACCACTGGCCAACTAATGCCAAAACTGTAGTGCAGACATTCCTTCCATTACCAACCCAGACATCATTATTAACATGCATAACTTGCTGCCAGTTCCGTCGCCCTGCATGATGTCTGAAACACAGCGGGTGTGCTGTAAGCATTGTAGTGCATTATCAAGAAAGAAAATGCAGGACACGTTGCTGTTGTCTACGCTTAAAGATAACAGCACCGGTCAAAGTTATTAGTCTATCTCAAGTGGGTTCAGCAGACCAGCATGCTCAGCTGGAATCACGGGAAACCATCAGCCATTCCCTACATTAGTCTGCTAATCTGGGTTCTTTAAATCATGGCAATTGAGATAGTCTTAAACAGGGGTTTGGATCTGCACCTGATTAAGCTTTGTTAATAACTTTGGTATCAAAACATGGGTCACAGAAGCAGCTGTACTTTACTGCTAATTAACAAGCCTTTAACTGAAGTGGGTGCGTTAGAGCAGGAAGAATACTGAACTGTACTAAACTATGCAGCGCAGGGTTTGTAAAGATTGGCCTAAAGCAGGGTTTTCCAACCCGATACTCTGCACATTTCTGTCAGTGGTTTTCCTTTCAAACATTCTGCACATTTTAAGCGAATTTCCAAAAAGTTAATCAGTGTTTCCATTAACTACCATTATGTAAAATTCCTGGAGATGACATGCCACGCTTGCACTGTACGGCGTGAGACAAGAGTCTCCGTGTGTGGCGTACATAATGGAAGGATTTGACCCTTTGTTAGCTCTCGGCGGTGCAGTTTTGACAGCCTTCAATCAACTGCGCTTGGCTGTAGCTCCAACAGTTCAGAGACACTAATTGGAGCAAGCAGTGGCCCATTTAAAGGGGACTTCCACCTATTTTTTAAAATCTCTGCATAATTACATGGTTAAGATGTAAACGAAGTCATTCAGAGTGATTTGATGTGAAATTCTAGAGAAACTTACCAAGGTCGTGTTGTTCACAGTGGTGGTGATACGAACAAGACATCCAAAGCATTTAGTATCTCTAAAAGCTCCCTCACAGAAACCTATTACATGAAAATGTTATGAATATGATACTTTCATGATAAGACTTTGGCCTGAAATGCACTTTTTTATAATCTACTCACAGCAAAGAGGTACATGTAGGACACTACAAGGCAATGTAGTATCGAGAGAAAACTTTTTCTACCATTGTCAACACTGCATTTGAAACTCAGGAGACTTGTAGGTTCATAGGTCATTTTGGACAGTAAACAAAATGGCTATATTTGTATTGCAGACATTGTGACCCATGGTTCCTATCACCACCACTGTAAAAAAAAATCTGTGTCAGTAAGTTTCTCTACAATTAATCATTTCACATCAAACCACTCGGAAAGACTCTGTCTTCGTTTGCATTACAACAACTGAATGCCTTTTTGAATGATGGATTTCCCCTTTAATTAGGGCTGAAGTCACTGTCCCAATTCACTGTTGCCCTCCGAACCCCTGGGAACACCTCCGAGACAAACAGTTCTGAGAAGACATAGTGCCAAAAATGTGGTTTTCACTCCCACTACGTCATCACTTAATGAAAACCTCTGTTTCTGTCACTGTTTTTCTTAATTCTACTGAATATTGTTTCAGAGTGAAGGAAAAACTCATGTGTTGTTTCCTGACTCTACACTCTGTCCCAGCCCACAGGGGGCTTGTTAATTGTTTAATGATTGGTTAATGAGGTGAAACAGGTGTGCCAGATGAGACAAAAATGTGCACTGTGTGAGGATGCAGGGACCAGGATTGGGAAAAAGTGCTGCCTGCAAGCTGCTTTGGCAGCATTTCCCAGTCCTGATCCTGGAGTACCTTTGACCTGAATGTTGTAGTGTTTTTCAGGTTTAACTCAGGAAAGGCCTGTTTATTATCTGTTTAGTTGGGTCAGGTGAGTTAGAGTAGACCAAACAGCAAAATATGTAGGACAGGGGTATTGCAAAAAGAGGTTTGGGAACCACTGGAAACAAAGCCATTGAGATGGCTTCAGTTGAACACATCTAAACCTCAACTATTTCAGTTGAGTGCAGTGCCACAATAAAAAGAGCCTAAACACGTAGCTGAATTTGTAAAACAGCTGACAGTTTCAGCCAAACATGCTGGTTTACTGAACCCACTTGAGATATGCTAATAACTTTCACCAGTGTGGTTATCTTTAGCACAAACAACACCAATACATTCTGCCTCGGCTTTCTTGATAATGCACTGTGTTGCTGAAAGTTGTTGACTGCTGTGTCATACACTGCACTTTAGGAACTGGCAGCAAGTTCTGCATGTTCTGCTGTGATCTGCTCTGGCATTACGTGGGCACTGTTTTTTGACCCTAGATGTTCTGTTGGGGAAACTTTCAGGTTGAACCTCTTGCACTGATGTGAGTATCTAGTGCAGTGGTTCCCAACCCTGGCCCTGGAATACCCCAGTCCTGTAAGTTTTTGTGCTTCCCCTGCTCTAACACAACCACTTCAACTCAGGAAGCATTTATTAATTATCTGATTAGTTGGATCAGGTGTGTTAGAGCCAGACAAATCACTCCCAAAGTTGTGCACCACTGCTTAAGTTCTACCACCCTGGAGAGTTTAGTAACAACACACCTGCGGCTAATATTTAGGTCAGGGGGTGGTGAACTGTGGACCTGGAGGGCCAGAGTTGAGCACATCTTGGTGTTTTCCTGCTGTAGCTCACCTATTAAACCTGGCAATTGGCACCTGAGTTAAATCATTTGTGTCTGATTGAGAAAACCACCAAACTGCCGCCCCTGATTCAGATCCTCCCAAAGTCCTTCATTTACTGGACCAGGTGTGTTAGATTAGGGTTGGTGCTAAACTCTGGGTGCTAGATCACCAGGACCAGGGAAGGGCGCCCTTGGCTTTAAGAGGAATTCTATTGATTTTTAAGCTTTCTGCATAATCCAATTGTTAAGAAAAGTCATTTTGAGGGGTTTGAAATGGTGCACTGCAGAAAAACTCATTGACACTGATATTTTTAGAATGGTGGTTGATGGGAACCAGGAGTCATAATGTCTACAATCATTTTATTTACTATCCCAAATGACTGGTGAAATTCGTATTTTACAGGACTAAGCCCTGCATGTACCTCTTCAGCCTGAATGTACTTTAACAAGGCTAAAACTATTGTACAACACCCTGGAGAGTTCAGATCCAACACACTTGGCTCTAGTGTTCAGACGCCCCTGAAGACCTTTTTTAAGTGGATCAGGTGTGTTAGATTAGGGTTGGAGCTGAACTCAGCAGGGTGGTAGCTCTCCAGGAGCAGGACTGAGCACCCCTGCATTAAATGCTTCAGACATCTCATTCCTTTCACCACCACTGTGATCTATTCTAAAAGTTTCTCTAGAACTGAGCGTTTCACAGCAAACCACTCTGAACGACTTTGCTTACATCTTCCCGATTCAATTATGCAGACATTCTGATAAATTAGAGGAATTTCCCTTTACAACCATAGTCTGTTAACAGTTCCATCAGCATGGCTTTATCAGTCACACAGATCCAGAACCCAACAGAGGTAAAAACTTCCACCAGTGCTGGTATCTTTAGTTTAGACCAAAGTCAACACATACACTTGGTCTCTTAACATCTTTAGATGTAAAGAGTCTAAACTGGAAGCTTGGTGTGCTGGACTGCTGAACCTCTATGAGATAATAACTTTCACCTGTGCTGTTACCTTCAGCATAAACCAAGATCAACAGTGATGTAAAGATCTGAGGCTGGCAGGCTGTTTTTATGTGTGGAGAGCTGACAGCTAACAGCATGTTGGCCTGCTGAACCTACCTGAGACAATAACTTTCACTCTTATCTTCAGCATAGATCCCATTTAAAGAGCCCAAACCGGCACCTGAACGCACGACACAGCGGATACAGTGCTGCAACACCTGATACGAGACCAGAAGACTAGACAGGACTGAGAAGCACAGCGCCACGTTCATTCATTCAATCATTCATTCATTCATTCATCCATTCAGAACTCACCAGGTTGAGCACAGTCTCGGCGATGTCCCTGTCCGTGACCTCCCCTGCCTGGATGAGACCGACCAGCACGGCGAATTTGGTCCTCATGCTTCGGATGGGCAGGCCGGCGGGCAGCAGCACTGAGCCCGGCTTATCGCTCGCCATGTCCGGGCAGATCCGAGCGTGAGCCGCGCTAGCGAGCACCGAGCCACCTGGATCCTTAAAAACAGCAGCAGCAGCGCCGTAGCATCCACACGGTGAAGACTCAGCCGAACACAGACGGGAAGAAGAAGGAAATTTCTAGAACGAAGCCGAGCTCCAGGGCCGGCTCGCTGTCTGAGTCTGGGGAGGTGGGGTGAGCTTACGTCCACCTGCGCCGGGTGAGCGTGTCACGGTCAGACACGCTGCCAGTCCTTCCAGCAGAGACGTGTGGCTCTAACCTTGCTGAATCCGCCGCCTGCTCGAGCTTCATCACATCCCTCCGCTGCTCGCTAGCAACACGCCCTCTATCCCTCTGTGTGTGCTGGAGCAGCCTGCTGGATTAGACATGTGCACTCTTACAGAGAGAGAGAGCGAGAGGGAGAGAGAGAGAGTTTAAAGGGGATTCCACCTTTTTTCTTTACCTTTTGTTCTAAATGATCTTGCTGTAAGTCAGTCAGAGTGGTTTAATGTGAAATGGTTCATTGTAGAGAAACTTACACACTCTGATTTCTTTGCAGTGGTGCTGATAGGAACCAGGGGTTGTATATCTACAATGCAAGTTTAACTACTTTATTCATTATTCAAAGTGAACCTACACATGAGTTTTTACATGCAATGTGGACAACAGTAAATAATAATAATAATAATAATAATAGTTATAATAATACATTTTTGTTTGGGTACTGCATTGTGCAGTGAAGTCCAGAGAGGCCATGAGGTACTTACAATTTTCTGGACTTAATTATCTTGTGATCTCAAGATACCAAAGTTGTTACCTTAAAATCATGACTTATTTTGTGATCTCAAAATTAAGTTGTTATCCTGAGATCACGACTTAATTATCTTATGATCTCAAAACAACAAAGTTGTTATCTTGAGATCTCAAGGTAAGTTGTTATCCTGAGATCACGATTTATTTATCTTGTGGTATCAAAATAACAGTTGTTGTCTTAATTTGCTATCCTGAGATCATGACTTAATTTTCTTGTGATCTCAAAATAACAAAGTTGTTATCTTGAGATCGCTACTTAATTATCTTGTGGTCTCAAGATAACAGCTATATCTTGATCACAAGAACATTAAGTCATAATCTCAATATAAAATTCTGAAAATTATAGCAACAGCTCATGGCCTCCCCAGACTTCCCTAACATTGATCTGCAATGTCCTGCAAGTTTTTATATGTAATGATAATAAAGGTAAACTGGTGATAAATCTGAAGAAAAAAAAAGTTTTGGGGGATTATTTTACCTGTCAGCACCCTGTTTGTACTCCTCCACCATGAATGGATTCAAAAAATAATTTGTAGGCCCAAACTTGATCTCAAACACTATTGTAAAACAACCATTCAGTGTAATAACTTTGTGTGAGGAAGTTTTGAAAGGCATTAGGCACCTCAGACGTCTGGTTCCTATCACCGCCACTGTGAATGTTTCAGACTCTAGTTTCTCTAGAATGGAGGATTTAGCATCAAATCAGTCAGAATGACTTTACATCTTAACAGTGTAAATATGCAGATAAATTGAAAAATAGATGGAATTCCCCTTTGTTTTGTGAGTGTGATAAAAATAAAGATTATATTTGTAACAGCTTTTGTACTGGAAGTGTGGAAGTCTGCGCATATATCAACATATATATTATAGTAGACTATGAACTTATATATAATACGAGTTTAGTTAGTGATCACCCAGAGGTGACTGATGGCTAGTTGCATTTACTCCACTGCATCTACTCTGAATGGTCAAAAGGTTGCAAACATCAGCTCATCCAGAGTTTCTTCTGAAATCAAGCGTGTTGACAGGGAGCTTGTTCTTTGCTGCAGTAACAGCCTCTACTCTTTTGGGAAGGCTTTACACTAGATGTTGGAACATTGCTGTGAGGGTTAGATTGCATTTAGCCTTAAGAGCATTGGTGAGGTCAGGTACTAATGTTGAATGATCAGTTCTGGATCACAACGTCCATTGCAACTCATCCCAAAAGTGGAACTGGATGGATCTACATCACTCCAAAGAACACAGCTCCACTGCTCCACAGCCCAGTGCTGCTGGGAGTTTTGCATCCCTCATGGTGACCTCATGTGAAGCTGCTCCAGAGCCTCATTCAATTTTCTATGAAGGTTATCACTGCTGTCGAAACAAAACCTCATATCTCCATTTTTGTTGTTTTTCAGTTTTTGACATAATTTGAAAATGCCTGTTGGCCTTTACATTGGGTGTACATTTTGTGATGAATGGGCCAAAAGAAATGGCCCAAAATGTTTCGAGCTGTTCATAGTGGTGGTGATAAGAAACAGATGTCCAAAATGTTTAATGCCTCTAAAAGTTAGCCCACAAAAAGGGTATTACATGAAATATAATGTGATATATTATAAAGATTCTGGCCTAAAATGCATTTTGGCACAGCAATCATGGCAAAATAATCTCCAAAAAAACTTATTCACCCAGATTTAACCCCACTTTATCATCTAAACTACATTGTCAGCTTTATTACAATACAAACTCAGAAGACATGTGTGGGTTCACCAGTCATTTTATATAGTAAATAAAATGGCTATATTTGTGTTGTAGACATCACAACTTCTGATTTCTATCAGCACCACTGTAAACAAATCAGTAGTATCAGTAAATCAGTAGTAAGTTTCTCTACAGTGAACTATTTCACATCAAACCACTCTGAATGACTGTTTACATCTCAGTGATTGAATTATAGTGAAATATTGAAAAAAACAACCTGTGGATGTGGCTCTAAAGTAGCTGAATTCGCAAATTAGAAGGATCGTCTGGATCCTGTTGGACATATACTGTACTTATAGATCCAATTTAGACAATTTGTGCTTTTTGAATCTTTTAAAATGAGGAAATGAATTCACTTTTCTCTTTAGTTTCATGTCATGTTTAGTTCCTAATTCCTTCGTTGGTGTTTTGTTTTATTCTATTCTGACAGCTGTTGCTGTTGCTCACACCTTTCAAGCTTCAGGATTTCATTCAGCACTAAAATTATCCCAGTAATAAAAGAATAGCACCTAACAAACCTCACTTCCTGTGCTGAGAGGCACAAGATTCACTGCGGTTCTATAGGGAACCAAGATTTTTTCTTTGAAGAAATGACACTTTTACTTATGGATGGTTTTAGGCTCTTTTTCCTACCTCTGCAAATCAGCTGTTCGCACGAAAGATGTGGTTGAAGGTGTTCAGACTAGCATGGCTGACGTGTGTGCGAGCATAGGGACATGTCAGACTGAATCAGGCTTTAAATATTCCACACTGGCGGCCTGCTGAAGCAGCGTTTATGACTTCATTAAAATCCAACAGGCCTACCAGGTGAAGCCACTGCAGACAGATTTGATCGAGTCAAGTGGCATTATTAGCATGTAATGGAATGGTGGGCAGTAGATTAAATGTCATAGCAGATAATAAAGATGGGAACACAGTACAGTGCGTCATAGGAGTCAGCTCAGCACATACAGTACATGAACTCTACATAATCATCATCAAAATAGCTTCAAACAGCCGCCAGGATCAGAATGCATGGCTGTATTAACTGGATATACACAGTTACATGCAGTCATATGCAAAAGTTTTGCCGCCTCTGGTTTTGTTAATGTTTTTGTTGATGTCTACGTGTAAATTAGTGAACATCCTCTATATGCAACACACTTTTAATACAAAATTACTGTTTATTTGCTGAATTTAACATATTGGAAAAATGAAACATAAAATTGGCCTCAAATTGTCACATTTTGGATTTTATGTTTTTTCATTTTTTTACAATATTGTAAACTCAGCAGATCAACACAAATTGTTCACTAAAATTTGCAGGGAAATGCCATATTTGAGTGTGTTCTCTGTAGAGGATGTGCTCCTTATTTTCACTTATAAAATCAATAAAATGTCATTTCACTAGGGGTGTTTAAACTTTTGCATAAGACTGTAGTTACATAATTACACATACCACACTGAAGACTGATTGTGAAATAAAATACAAGTGTGATGAAAAGAAAAGAACATTTTTTCTTATATATATATATATATATATATATATATATATCAGAAAAAAAGATATACACAATATACATTAGTATTGCACTATTTCCAACGTACAGTTGTACAGTAATAAGTTATGAAATAAAACTATGATATGTAGAGTTGTACACATTTCCGTATGTGCAGTGAGTCTGAGGTAGATAATAAATGAGATGCAGGTACACAGGGGATAGAATACTGATATAGAAATCTTCCAGATTATGCAAGATATGGATAGAAGATGTCAATCTATATGTGTAAGTATAGATCTGCTGGATTGAAGGTGCAGTAAGATCAGAGTGAGTCTATTTGAGGTGTGGATGAGGTGTAGATTGTCCATGGAGATCATGATGATGACTCAGAGGTGCAGTGACAGGCTTATAGACCGACACACCAGCACTACTGGCTGTTCAGCAGCCTGATGGCCCGGGGGAAGAAACTGTCTCGGAACCAGCTGGTTCTGGACTTTATGCTTCTGTACCTCCTCCTGCTCGGGAACAGTGAGAACAGACAGAGATTTGGGCAGGTGGAGTCCTTTAGAACCCTCCTGGTCTTCCAGGACAGTGGCTGGTGTACAGATCCAGGAGGTTTGGGAGCTGGATGGCGGTGATGTGTTGGATTGTATATCACCTTTTTCCATCTTCATTTCTTACAAAAAAACTAGTTTTTAATACTGCCTTTAATACTGATATATGCAAATGAGCTGCATTCTGATTTGCTGCTCTATATTATGCCTTATTCAAAAAGCAGTCTTGGCTGAAACACTCCTTATAACTTCAGTGTGAGTGGGAGGGGCTAAACTGCTGTAAACTGAATAGGCAGATGTATGTAAACGTGTCGACACCACAAAAACAAAAAACAATGAATTCAAAACGGGCATTTTACAGCTTAGTTTCCATTTAATGGGAAGGGAACTGTACATTTTGAAACTTTAACAATATATTGTGTCAAACTCTTTTATTTCAAAAATAAAGTGTGAAAAAATCAGTTTTCCATAATAGAAGCCCTTTAAATATGCTGTTTATCAGTGGTCTTACCACTGCTGAGTTCATTATTGACTACAAAGTCTTGCTTATGACATTTAAAGCTTTTAATGGACTAGGTTTATAGAATCTAATCTAATTTCTTTTTGATCTCTTGAAGCATTGCCCACCCACACCATCCACCCATTTGAATCTATTTTTCATCTATAGCTTCTAATTGTGTTGGTTTTTTCATTTGAACCATAATGTGTTGTTTATATTCCTGAGTAATGCACAGATATTTTGTAACTAAAGTGCTAAAATGATAACGGAATGTGTAAATGGACATTGTACTAACCTATGACACTGTAGCTTACAGGAGAGTTAATGAGTCTAAGTAATCTGCTCTGCAGTGAAATTCCCTTAAATGTAAGGGCATGTAAGCAGTGAAGGACACAAATTTAACTTTATCGCTAACATTGGCACCTCTCTCTGACTGTCTGTCACTCTCCAGGGGTTTGATATCTTGTGAGTGGTTAATTTTGCAATGCTATTTCAGGGAAGTATATTCAGGGAACTCAGGGAAGAGTTTGTTTTTGGAGGGCTACATTCCCAGTTTTACTGTGTGTTTTACTATTGTTATGAATTGTTAGTCTTCATGCTGATTTGCTCTCCAGCTTCTGAGAATGTTCATATATACATATTCCAGTCTTATGGAATTATATTTACAATATACTGTCCATATCCACAGTACTGTGCAAAATGCACATATTCTCAAATGACATGGAAAACTCCTTAACAGGGCTGGGTTTGAATGACTCTCTATGTTTTGGTAGTGACATTAAAATGTGGAACAGCATTTTTCATGCTAAATTCAAAATTTTGTGAGCACTGTTTTTATTCGTTGCAAGAACATAAATAAAATAATTTTATTATGATTCTAAAACTGTACAAGTGCATAGGTTTCAGCTAATTTGTAGAAGCTGTAAAAAATGACAAAATGTTAGATGTATCCAGAACAATGAACAGAGTTGTAGATGATTCCATAATGACTCACAAAGTGTATAACATATAATAAAATTAACATCCAGAATGCCTCATATCTGAAAAGTGGTCAGACAGATAACTAATCAAGGAAAACTTGACATATTGATTAACTTCTGGTATTTGCATATCATCACTGTAAAAACAAAACCTTGTATTTCCAAAATAGTAACTTTCCAGGAGAAGGAAAACTATTTTAATGGGAGTCAATGAATAAAATATTCCAAATAATTTTGGAGCATTTCTATCGGTCAATTAATGGAATTAAAGTCATTAAATAAAAAAAAAGACAGAAATGGACTTACAAAATCTTGTCCCAACAGCGACAATATATTTTTTTCATTGCACAGTATCTCATATTGCAAAGTACTGAATTAGTTTGCCATATAAAACTGCCTTATGCTGCCATCTAGTGGACATGTGAAGTCTCCTAATCTCTCAGTCTCTCGAGCAGCATAACAGCTAAAGGCAAAATCCATCATGAAGCATGTCATTAGTCAGTGTAGGTATGATATGCAAAGTGAAACTCATTCACTCTCCCCAACTGTGCTTTATTCTGATTCCTGCTGATGTTCTTGTGCTGCAATGTTAATGTGTTTTAATGACCGGTATTGTATCTTACAGTATCTTAGGCGAAGGCCTAACTGGATTCCCGGTCTTACTGGTGTCATCACCGCTCTTGTGACTCAGTGCTTCACATTATAAATATGAACTGGGCCTACTGCAGTACAGCATTGTGTGATTTCTGAGCCTCCCTGCGTTCTCTACAGGAATAGTGTCCTATTTATAAAGCATTTGCCTCCAGCAGATCCATTGCACCTCGAGAAGAAAGCAGAGGAGAGGGAAAATGATGAAAGAGAAGAAATACAGGATACAAACCTGCAGGCCAATGAACACAACAACAGACACTTCGGATTAGTAATAATTAATTTATATATAGTTTATTAAAAAAGACATCGTCTCTGACTCCTGTCCTCTATGTAATCCAGTACTACAAGAGCAGGTCTGAGAAAATCAAACCCAAGTCATTTTTTCATCCTTACAACATTAACATTAAAATAAAATAATATTACATCCATTCTTGGACAAACACTGACTGATCAACACAGAGAAGGCAAAGTAAAACCAGCTTACATCTGAGTAACATTTTGTACCATATAAATCAAACTGATACCAGTGCAAAAGAGATATCAATACGAAGGCAAAATGCTTGTACTACATGAGCCTTTCGGTAATGCACACTCTATACAGGTTCACTTGTCTGTATGCACACATATGGTCGTGTACAGAGACACACATACATACTCACACACAAGCACACACGCAATACAAGCGCACACATATGTGGTCGTGCAGCATGTACCCTCAAATATAGCTTTATCTTTGAATCTAATAACGTACATGCTTCCCAGAAGCATTTAAGAGCTTAGATGTTGTATACATTGTATAAGATTATGTGCTCGGCAAATAGGTACAAATATAATTAATTATTATACAAATAATGATAATTACAATAATATAACTTTACAAATGAACAACAACAACAACACAAAGATACATTGGCAGGTTGCAGATTATCCCCTTAGAGTTCTTCCCGACATCATCTGAAGAGTCACAGTATTGGTGGAGGGTGTCCAGAGGGTCCCGTAGGGGACGGCAGGGCTCAGATTTTGGTCTCTGGGCCCTCGGCATGGATCGGCTGAAAGGAGTTGCGGATACGGGCGGCTTCTGCGGCACAAAGGTGGCCGAACGCCTTGTTGTACCACTCTGGAGTTCTCCCTCTGTACGTTGAAAGGAAAGGTGAGAATTTGTTTAAGCTGCTTTATTATTTTGTTTTTAATCTTATGACTTATTATTCAGTAACTACTACAGTACTTAGTACCCATGAAACTAATAAGTAACTGTGTGAATAAAGGGTCATCCATTCAGGAGTACTCCCATTTAAATATGTATAATATGTATACATCATTTCCAATAGTTTTCAGACAAGTTTGCCCTAAAAAATACTTTCAAAAAAATACATCCAGAGAAACATGCTGGGTGTAGTAAAGCAAAATAATCCCCAAAGAAAAGATTTTGAATTTACCACTATCAGTGCATATAAGAAGATACATGTAGGTTCACTGGTCATTTTAGATAATCAATAAAATTTTCTATATTAGCATTGGTTCCTATCTTGTCCTTGCTGAGTCAGTAAGTTTCTTGACAATGAACCATTTCACATCAAACCACTCTGTATGACTTTGTTTACATCTTAGTGATTGAATTACACAGAAATGGTGAGTTACTAGAATTCTCCTTTAACCTGCTACAGGTTAAGGAGAAGGTTCAGGGATGAAGTTGGAGGGGTTCAGCTGAAAAGTTTAGGTTTAAAAGGCCTTTTCTTGTTTGATGCTGCTCTAAATGAGCCGTTCAATAAAGCTTATGAAGAGCATGTAAGTATGTCACAGTAATTAATATTAATTAATTAAGTAATATTAAGTAATATTAATGAGCAATGAATTTGATTTGGGCAGAAGTGAGGAATACTGAGCATGCGTGTTTGTATACTCACTTGAGGTCCACTCTGCAGATGTGTGTAAGTCGTGACTTTCCTGAGCCGCAGGGCTCCAGCAGGTAGTTAGACTCCAGCACAATCCCCCTGACCCCACCTAAGAGCGGACAGTCATGCTCTATGGAGACGGACACGAGAGAGCATGCGCCCCGAGGTAAATCCGTCCTCCATGACCTGAAAACAAAAAGAGCGCTCATGAACAAACAGTCGTCCTGCAGATTTTTTATAGTAACGGTTCGGGAAATGAATGAAGTGTATGAAGTTTGCTTCTTTAGTTCTGAATTGGAGGGGATGTTCCAAGGTCCCTATGGTGCCAGGGTCCTACGACCCCAAGGTTCTGTGTTCTAAGAGTCATTATGATATCAAGGTCCTATGTTCTCAGAGTCCTATGATCTCAGGCATATATGATCCAGGGTCCTATTTTCCAAATATCCTATGTTTCCAGGGTCCTATATTACTAGGGTTACACATTCTTATATCTTTTTACATTAAACATCAAACCTCAATATGATACATTAAGGAGAACTATGAAAGGGTCCTCACTAGGGTGCAGGAGTCTAACAGGTCACACAAGAGACAACAAGGAACAGATTTTTTAATACCCTATGAAATCCCAGGCTTAATACATACTAAGGCTTATTGAACAGAACTAAGAGACTGTATTGCAAACTGGCTGAGCTATTCTTAGGGTATAGAAGTGTGAAAATAAAACTTTGGGCCCTGGCCATTTAAGGGGTTAACAGGGATGCATTTGATCTTGGCTAGGCTAGCCTCGGCTAGCCAGCTAAGCAAAGTTTCTAATGCAAATGATTTTTTAAAATTGGAAAACATGGGGCAGTTTTTTTTATAAATTTCACTGAGCACATAAAGGGCCCTGGGAACACAGTAATGACCCCCCCATCAACTGGCATCAAGCAAAATGCATGCCTGATCATCACACGCTTGAGCTGTGAGTTGTGTTAATATATATATATATATATATATATATATATATATATATATATATATATTTTCAAACTGTTGTTTTAAGAGGCAGTTCACTTGTTTTGAAGAAAAGATAAGCATTAGCGAGTGCAAAAGCCCACT